CACTGTTTTGTAAAAATAAAAATATCAATAAGAACATCGGATTATATATCTTACTGCTCTTTCTTTTATTAAAAATATATATATATATATATATATATATATATATATATATATATATATATATATCAACTAAATCGCCGGCTCTCTGAGCCTCTTTCAAATCAAGCAAGTATTTGAGTTTCTGAGCGCAAACTGATAAAATAAAAACAAAACAACACTAGTTATAGTTGTAGAATTCTGTAAAAAAGTAATTTGGGCCTTAACCTAGAACTGAGCCGCAAGAATAAATTACTAATGGAAAAAAAATTCAAACAAAATATCTTCGAAAAGAAGAAGAAGAAGAAAACGAAATTCGGAAGAACAAAAGCATTAACAGAAACAAATTTAATAGCAAAACTCATTCTGATGAGAAGTCAATAACGAAGAAGAAAAATATGGGAAATATTGAATATATCTGAGCAACGAACAGACTGTTGATTTCTTGACAGGAACTACTGATAAATACAGGCGATCAGACAGACAGACAGAAAGAAAGAAAGAAAGAAAGAAAGAAAGAAAGAAAGAAAGAAAGAAGTAGATTGTCTTCGGTCTATCTAGCAAAAAAAGAATATAAGAAAGCTGTGAATTATATTTTGGCAAGATTACGTTTGCTTTTGTAATGACGGCTGCCAGGTAAAGTTAAAAAAAAAAACGAAAAAAAAAACACGAAAAGTTCGAGCGAAGACTATTGAGAAATGTTACCAGTGGCCATTGACTAAATGAAAAGAGTAAGGACGTAAAACGAGATCGAAACATTCTAAGGACATCAAAGAAAGGCAAATGGAGAGAACAGAAACTTTGATTTGATGGAATAAAAGAGTAAGGGTTAAAAAGAAAAAAAGTCCATTGTGATGAATAGTTAAAATGAGTGGAGAACAATTTCGGAGAGAAATCGAATGAAAGAAATGATGAATGAAACAGAAAGAAACAAAAACAAAATGGCGTAGAAGAAAAGGGTTTAGTTGGGAAATAAAAGGCGCGAAATTAAATAACATTGTAGAGAAAGAGGTTCAAAAAAAAAAAAATGATGAGGAGAAAGACAGAGAAAGGAAGAGAAGAGGGAGATAAATTTAGCCGAGAAAGAAAAAGACTAAGGTAACTGAATAAGATCAGAAAAAGAACGAAGATGTTTTGTGTTTCTTAAAGACTTTTTCATGCGTTCTTCTTCTCCGAGCGAAGAGAAAAGAAAAGAAAAGGAAAAAAAAAACTTTGTGCAAAAACAAAGATAAAAAAAATAAATAAATAAAAAGACTGAAAAGAGGAAACATTGTCGACGAAGAAACAAAAATGGCGATCAAGACGAAGAGAATTTTTTTTTGTCTCAGCCAGTTTATATCTATGTAGTTGACGGATATTGAATATTAACAAAACTAAAAGCTGCAGCAATAACTAATAAAAATACAAAGTTATCATTTAGTTTTTGTGCTTTTCCTATCAACTCTTCTCTTATTATTATCATGAGTAATATTATATCATCACTTTCTTCATCTTCTTCGTGAGATTATTATTATTATATCAGAATCACCATTATTGCAATAAGAAGAACGTAAGCTGAAGGCAAAAAATGGAAAAAATAAATAAAAGTATTGATATAAGAGAAATTGTCACTGATTCTTCAGAGCGTAGAATGTCTGTTGAAGAAATCGAATGCAATAATGGAACCACCACTACCACCAATGACGACGACAACAACAACCATCCATGAAATTATTCGCCTTACTTGAGTTATTTTCTCTGTTACTGTTGCTGTTTTTGCGTCCCCAGAGAAACCAAATGATGATTACGGTCGACACCACCACCACAATCTCGATATGTAGCCTCCATTATCATTTTTTTTCTCTCTAAATATTCATTATTAATTGATATCTTTCACGTTGGGGAGTAAATTCCCTAATCTTTGCTACCGTTTTTGTTTTGTTTTTTTTTAATTTTTTTGTTAACCTACCTTTCTTGAAAATATAATTTTTCATCACTTAAAAATGGACGGCAAACAAAATCAAAATGCACTCGATAGAAAGTTGATACCTTTGCCAGCTCTCAGCCAATTTCCAGGTGTGATTGGCTGCAAAATCTGTACAAAATACTCGAATAGGAATTACTGATAATATCTACACAAATAAAATCCCAAATATTTCTTTTCTTTTATATTCTCTGACTCTTTATTCTCTTCAGTGAAACTGTCTTCGCTCATCAGCCAGAATTGAACCTCATAATACTGCAGCATTTTTTAAAGTCTCCTTCTAAATTTCTGTTAACATTTACACGGCCGAGGTGAATACGACACAGGTTCAGAAATGTAGGAATCCCCTATTCATGACAAGAGTAATGGTCAACGAGACTATTATTAATTTCCGCACACCGAGTTGTTTTCCACCGTCCCAATTGCCTTCAGCATGTCCTGCCAGTGTTAAAATTTCCAAGCCCTCTTTCCTCGTTACGTACTCTAGAAATTTCAACTGTTTCTTTTTAGTGTACTTTTTTCTTTTCATTTTTTCTAAAACATTACTCACATCCGGGCAACTGAAACTACAGAGAACAATTCTTCATGTGGAACATAGGCCCACAGCGAAACCACACTAGGTGAGCTGCTGTACTAGGTTTTACGGAGTTGTATTACAAGGTAGAGTTTTGAATTCAGAGGTGACCTTCTCCTAGCTGAGGTGGGGCGAGAAGATATAAATCTATACTTTTCTCAAGGACATTTGTGAGAAAGTGAATACAACGGCCTCGTTTTTTTTTTGTTTTTTTTTTTGTTGTTTTTTACTTTGGCTCGCCTATCCAATTCTCCACTCTGATAACCACTAAGCTAGGTGCATGTTCGAGAAATCATCATTAAAAAATGTCATTTAAAATACCGGGGAAGGAGCTGAAGTTTTCAGTTTTACTTGATTCCGAACGAGGGCTCCGAAATGGCTTGAAAATGATAGCAAAATAATAATAATGATAATAGGAATTGTTGCCTAAACCAGGGCTCCTTAACCTGGCATCCATGAACCTCTTATGCGTCCAGGGATGGGCTTCAGGGGTCCTTGAGGATCAGATAAAAATTATCATTTATATTCGCTATATAGCCTTTGTCCTAATCAACCGTTTCCCATTGAAAGAAATAAAAGAAAATACATCGTTCCATTGTTGAAAGAAAACACACTCAGCTACTACTTACAGTGTCGACCGCTAGGCGTCTCTTGACTTGATGTTGCGTCCATGTTTACCATTTAAACGATTTTAAAGAAAGAAAGAAAGTCAACTCCTCTTGAAGATTGTAAAAGGCACCTTGAGAATGTATTTGATTAAACAGATAAAAGGCCCAGGAATTATGAAGTCCTTATCTTTGTCGCCATATTTATTAGGCTTCGACCTTTTTCAGGTGGTTTGAATGCCGAACTGAACCCTTTATTTCGCTCACTGGGGTAGACTGTTCTCGTTCCACGTGCCATGTCTAATGGATGTCAGTTATCAGTTATCTCCTGTTAATTCACCTCACCAAGTTCTCCACTGCCTTAACCAGGTATTGAACTTACACTATTTGGGTCCTGTCACTGGATCTAACCAACGCATTTATCCACTATGCCATGTCCTTGAGGACGTCTGTGTATGAATTTCTGGGTATTATAAACCTAATGTCTTCAGCAACCATTTTACCAGTGCTCATATTGCAATTTTTGCTGTTATCATTGCATGTTTTTACCAGAGCTCATAAATATAGAGATAAGAAATTTGTCTTAATAAACTGAAGAAACGATAAATTCCTCAGTTTCTATACCCAACTTATTATCAAGTCCTGTGTACTCACATCTTACATGGCAAACTGTTTTTTCAAAAACCATATATTCAAGACTTTTATATAAATGGAGGCATACCATCAGGTTCTCTGGAAATTGATGACTGAAGAATTTTAAGAGTAGAATCAGACTGCACTATTTCAGATTTCTTGGTAAAACCAGTTCTAGGAATCTTGGCCTTGTCAAACATTATTACAGTGGTTCTAGATCAGCTGTGATCACATCAATATGTAGGTTTCATTCCATCAGAGTTGTATTCCTTGATCATATTCTTCAAGACTTAGGCCAAGTGGAAAAACTACTGTGAACTTTTCCAGTCTCTTCAGACATCATCATTCTCTGCACGACCGCCGCCATCTTTTCCCACTCGATAAAAGCAATAGATAATTCTCATTTTCTAAGTTTTATCACGGTTTGTTTATGTTCTCATAAAATGGTGAGGATTAATTTACTACAAACTATTGCGTGGCTGGCTGAAAAGTGATATGCGTGCAGGTGTGCATATGAGGGTACAGGACGGAAAAATGCACGTACAACTGTTGTGAAAAGAAAAAATCAGACTGTATCTGCTTTTCTGTCTATTTATGAAGGGCTAGTTCATTTAGAGGTCAGAGTGCCCCCAAAAAGCTGGTTTAAACGATGGTTGGTGATGGCAGTGGAGCTGAGAATTGTGCTGGCAATCTGAGAAGATTTATTGTCGTTCGATCTTTAGCAACAAGTCTCACACACTAGCATCACAGAAACTCAAAACCCCGCAAAATGACATCTCGCCCTGAACTCTGGTTAGCATGTTAGTTTCGCAGACCTTTATTAAAATATTGAATTCGACCCAGAGATTAAATTTGAGACTATTTTAATTCGTGGCCTTGTGTCAGACTAAGCTAAACTGAGTAAATATCATTAATAATAATAATAATAATAATAATAATAATGAGAATGATAATAGAGATTGATTGGCTGATTTTATTTCATAATATCAACCAATCAGTTTAGAGTCTTTAAAAATTCTATAACCAATCAAAATTCTTGCTCCGAGTCTGGCGAATAAAAAAATAAATAAATGAATTGATAAAATAAAATAAACAAAAATGGTTTTGTCAAAGATTTTTTTTAGATTTAATTAAGTCTGTGGCTTTCATTATCAGGTATTATTAAATATCAGAGAAAAATTAATTTCGGATGTTGCAACTATTATCCGCCATACGTGGTTCATTTCTTACTTTCTTTAGATTTCATTTTTATTCTTTCTTGCTGTCTTTCCAATTCTTCCCCCCCTCCCGCTTTTCTTTACTTCTTGTCTTTTCCAGGCCTTCGTCTTTTAATCATTCTCTTCTTCTTTCTATTAATTTGTTTTTTTTTTTTTTGCCTTTGCTTCATTTTTTCTTTTCTTTTTTGTCCTTTTTCAGCTCCTCTATCTCCTTTTATATCTCTCTCGCTCTCTCACTCTCTATCTCACTCTCTTTCTCTCACTCTTCTTACTTTCTCTCTCTCACTCTCTCACTTTATCACTCTCCCAATCTCTCTCTCACTCTATCTCCTTTTATCTCTCTCACTCTCTATCTCACTCTCTATCTTACTCTCTTTCTCTCACTCTTCTTACTTTCTCTCTCTTTCACTTTATCACTCTCTCAATCTCTCTTTCACTCTATTACTCTCTCACTTTATCACTTTCTCTTTCACTCTCTCACACTTTATCAATCTCTCTTACTCTCTCTCACACTCACTCTCTCTGTTAAATTCCCTTTCGTAATTCTTTCCTTCTCATTCTGTTCTTTTCTTCTTTTCCTTCGTTCCTTTTCTAGTCATTTCTTTCTTTCTTTCTTTCTTTCTTTCTTTCTTTTCTACTTACCCTTTCTTTTTCTTCTGTTTCATCCTCCGACTCTTTCTTCCTATTTTCTTCTTCCTTTCTTTCTCTCATTTAGCCTCACACAGACAATTACTCTAATCCTCCTAGTTAATACTTCGTTTAATTTCGCATGCAAATAAATAAATAAAAAGAAAGAAACGAAAAAAAAAAAAAAAAAAGAAGAAAAAAATAATAACCAAAATTATTTTGCTTTCGTTTCGTCGGGTTGAAGGTTCAGCGCGGTAAATTATTTATTTTTATTGATCCCCACTTCATATTTAATGTTTTCTTAGCTGTAAAATTGTCGTAAAAATGATTTTTACCGAAACGCACAAAGAGCATTTCTATTTCGATTATTATTATTATTATTATTATTATTATTATTATTATTATTATTTCTTGCCCTAATACCCATCAGTCATTTTCCAGGGGTTCAGTTGGTGGGGGGGGGCGCATAGACGAAGTCAATCCCTTAACATTTCACTTTAACTATACACTGTTATTTAATCATTTTTATCTAAAATTCTAGACAGTTTATATCGACACAAGCCGTAAACTGATGTAATTGAAAGATTATGGCATTTAACAGAATAGAAGGGACACATTTCCCTCAAATAATGACTAAAAATAAAAGATAAACATTCATTATGAGGGGATGGAAACTTTATCATCGTCGACAAGCATTTCTTAAAGATTCCTTGTTGAAATGAAGGAACATTTTTATCATCATGGTCCTATATGCTGTTAAATACAGGATCGCATGTATTGAGGTCTATTTGGTTAACAAATGAGTAGGGTACCAAAAGAGAGAGAGAGAGAGAGAGAGAGAGAGAGAGAGAGAGAGAAACATCGACCTCCTGAAAGTGAGCCTCATCTTTTGAGTAATGAGTATGTCGGGTTACCTCCTCCTAATTTTCGAAACTGCTCCTAGGGGACGCTCTCAGGACTATAAATACTCTGCGATAATTTTTTTATCACTCTCTTTTGATCTTATCCATCAACATATCTCGCGGAGAACGCGTTCCCTTTGAGAAACGCATGAACAATACACACACTCACGCGCGCGCGCACACACACGTACATACGCACATTCACTCACTACACATACTTTGGACCATGAGATCTTTGTCTTTGTCACTTATAATCCTTTGTTGTTAGTACATTATCATTTGTTGTACTTATATATATATATATATATATATATTGGTTCTTGCTGTTTCTTTACGTGGACTCACATCCCGAGTCTGCCATGTTTGTTGTGGGTATTTTCAGGAGACACACATGTTTATCTCTCAATGGATACACCGGCCCGCAGCAAGTATCATGAGAAGGGAAGGAAACAGAGAAAGTCGACAGGGAAGGATGATAGCAGAATAACTATCGGGAAACCTTACATCGAAATTCAAAGTTCAAAATAAATAAAATTAAAAAAGATGAAAGACCTTCAAAGTCGGAGCCGACTACTAGACTACACAGATAATAAACTGTAACAGACGGACAAAACTCTCCCAGAATTTCGCCAAGCCCTAAAAAAAACATATTTGTTTAAACACGTAATTAAGCAATACGAACAGGGAATATTTCTCAAGTCTTTTGACAAGTTTCTCCTGCTGTTGAATATTCGTTTAATGCCAGATGTAAACTTGTTAATTTACTATTAATAAATAATAATAAATTAATAAATAAAGGAAATGCATATATTTTAGTCATCATTCAGTGTTGATTCGTATATCTATACTTTTCGTATCTATAAACGTTCAATGGTTGAAGTCAGGCAATGTTCCGTAATAAATGCATCAAATTTTAAAAACAATACGCCGCAAAAAAACAAAACAAAAAAAACAAAAACAAAATGGACGCACCCATAGAAATGATGATAAACAGAATATCAAGCTCATTACATTTGTATTTCCATTAATTAACATGCCTAAGCATTGTTCAGACTTCGAGAAACGCCAAGTCGCCGTTTTTCATGATGTTGGGCTGTCGAATACAGCGATAGATGATAAGATTAATCCAAGTGAGTCATGTGTCTGCAAGTAAATCAAAAAGAGAAATCAAAATGGAAAATATAATAGACGTAGCGGATCTGACCGATCGTTAAAAACTATCGACAGGGAAGATAGAAACTTGGTTCGTCAATACAAAAAAGATTGATTCACAACGACATAAGATATTTCCAAAGCGGATAGTTTGGCGGTTTTTTTTTCAGACGCAGGCTCAAGGCAAAAGGAATTGTTTTCCAAATAGATAAAAAAGAAACATTTCGTACCTGGAAAAAAAAAATTTCCCTATGCATTTTATATATATATATATATATATATATATATATATATATATATATATATATATATATTGAACAATAAAAAATATTAAAAATTAAAATCTTCAGACACACTGGGTTGTAGATTAATATTCTTTCGTTTTTTTTAATTATTTAGATTCCTCGACTAGTTTCGGCCAAAATGGCCATCATCGGGAGAAGAAATATTTCTGCTTGCTGGTAGCAGTAAACTACAGAGGTGTATCTTTTGCTGGAGAAAATTAACTTTTGTCTGTAGTTTTCATTTGTATTTTTTTATCTTTTTAACATGAATCTTTTAACATTCCTTGTGTTGGTCAAACAGTCTCTTTTAAGTTGTTATTTGAGATAAGAGCTAGATGGATCTATGCTTCTCTGAATTCCCGTGGTCAGTTTGACAGTTTTATTGGTTCTGGAGAGGGATGTGTCTCTGTTTAGTGTTTTGTGTGTGTATACACACACACACACACACACACACACACACACACACACACATATATATATATATATATATATATATATATATATATATATATATATATATAAATATATATGCGGAATGTATAGGGAAACAGTGATCAATATTGACGAAGATAAAGCGTTTTTAGATAATTGTGACTAGCCACTTCTTCACAACCTAAGCAATTATCAGACCATGACCTGATGATCACTTAAGCGTGAAACTAACAAGCACCACTTTCAACATTGCTTTCAATGTCAACAAGTTTATATATATATATATATATATATATATATATATATATATATATATATATGTGAACACTGAAGTCAACACTTAGAGGCAACAGGTTGTTTCATGCTAGACGCAGTCTAGCACGAAACAGCCTATCAGTTATCTCCTGTTAATTCCCCTCTGAATGTTCTCCACTGCCTTAACCAGGTATTGAACTCACACTATTTGTGTCCTGTCACTGGATCTAACTAACACCTTTATCCACTGTGCCATGTTTCTTTGAGGACATCTGTGTATGAATTCAGATATGGCACGTGGAACTAGAACAGTCTACCCAAGTGAGCGAAATAAAGGGTTCAGTTCGACATTCCAACTACCTGGCGAAGGCTGGAGCGTACAACGGACGAAACGTTGTAATAAATATGGCGACAAAGATGAGGACAATAGTCCGAATATTGTAAATATTGTCCATAATACCTCATCTCAGAAATATAGACAGATACTGAAGCGCAGAAACTTTATAATAAATATGGCTACAAAGATGAGGACAATAGTCCAAATAGTGTAAATAGTGTACATAATACCTCATCTCAGAAATATAGACAGATACTGAAAGGGCGAAACGTTGTAATAAATATGGCAACAAAGATGAGGACAATAGTCCGAATAATGTAAATAATGTACATAATACCTCATCTCAGAAATATAGACAGAGGTTTCGATGAATAGTTGCTACCTAAATAGACCTTAAAACCAATGGCGTGACTAAAAGTTTGGGATGGTTTTTGGGTTTTTTTTTGTTTCGTTTTGTTTTTCTTTTTAATAAATTCCATCCATGATAATGATACCAAGGGTTACATAAAAAATAAACAAAAGCTAAGCTTGATTGAACTGAATTCTTGTTCTTGAAGTCACAGCTGGGTTGTTAATAGGACAGCCTATCGATTCGGAATATTGATCCGCCAATTAGGCATCAAATTTGAATGGTTTTGAACAATAAAAGTCATCCTATGTGAATTAAGACTTTGTGATTTTCAACAAGCAAAAATGCGACAACGAATTTTATTGATAGTCGCTTTATGCGTCATCATGAAAAAAAAAAAAAAAAAAATGAAGAGATAGAAACAAAAGCGAACATCAGTACCTTTAACTTAGTAAATACCTCCTCGGCTTTGAAGATACGCATTCAGAAAAGGGTAAAGTGCATTAAAGGCTAAGTGAATCCATGAAGAAGGGCGTTAACCCAAATTCCGAGCCAGATTTAAGGGATTAGGAATAATGACAGTTATGGCGCTTAAGGCTTCAGCTTCAACATTCAGATTATTTCTGTCTATATTTCTGAGATGAAGAATTGTAATTATTTATATTATTTACATTGTTTGGACTCTTGTCCTCGTCTTTATTGACATAATCAAGACGTTTCGCCCATTGTACGTTCCGGTCTTCTTCAGGATCTTTCTATATTTCTGAGATAAGGTAACTGCTTATATTATTTACATTGTTCAGACTCTTGTCCTCATCTTTATTGTCATCTTCACGACGTTTCGGCCGTTGTATACATCCGGTCTTTTCCAGGTGATTGAAATTTCGAACCGAACCCTTTATTTCGTCCACCAGGGTAGATTCTTCTAGTTCCACGTGTCATGCCTTTTCCAGATATCTCCCTTTAACTTAATTCTCCAAGTCTTCGTTCACCACTGCAGTAGTCAGTTACTGAAGTAGCAACTCTTTGGGTCAAGTTACTGAATCAAACCAACGCTTTTATTCACTGTCATGAGCCCTTGAGGATAACTTCTCTAATTTAATCTCACCACTTGTCAGTCTGTATCTTTTCGCGTTTGTTTATTCAATGACTTCTATCTGTCAAGGTTGAGAATGGATAAAACAGCCATAGTGCTACCAAGGCAGTCAAGATAATTATGCGAGATTGGATTGACTCTTTAGTCAATCATTGATCCCGACAGTGGAATAAAAGGGAACTGGGTTCATACGAAAGAAATATATGCAAATCGTACCAGAACAATTTTCGCTAATTTCGTTTTCAACACCGATAATTACAACGCCACATTTTGTTTCTCCATCTCTGCCATTCTCTTTGATCCGAATTCTGATTATGACTTCCAGTTTCTTTTCCCACAAACCACTGTTCTGTGGAATAAACTCCCAAGAGGATGTTTCCTCCATCGCTACAATCTTAACCTTTTACTCCTTTTAAATTGCCTCTTAATGTAACCCTCTACCTCGAGTGGCCCCCGGACTTTGTGCAGGTAGAAATAAAAGTAGAACAGCAAGATATGTAATCCGGTGTTATATCTTACTGTTCTTCCTTTTTTTACTATATATATATATATATATATATATATATATATATATATATATATAATCAATTTTAATAAATTAATAAAATTATATAAAAATATTTATTGATTTAAAAAGATAGAATATGTTAAATCATTATCTTAACTATTAGAAAAGTATTAATTTTACACAAGGCCATATATTTTTAAGCATAATGTCATTCATTGTCATTGCACTTAATCCAACGCTTCTGCATTATCTAGATTTACGAGAAGAGTTAATGTAATTATTTACATTATTTACAACATTCGAACTGATGACCTCGTCTTTATTGCAATATTCACGACATTTCGACTGCTGTACGCTCCGGCCTTCTTCAGCTGATATACGTTGGAATTTAAAATCGAACCCTTTATTTAATTCACGGGGGTAGATTCTTGTAATTCTACGTGCCATGCCCTTCTTTACTATGTCAGTTTCAGTTTACATATATATATATATATATATATATATATATATATATATATATATGTACAAAATTAATGTGTGTGTGTGTGTGTGTGTGTGTGTGTCAACACTCTATTGCATTGATTTATGTCTTGATCCGGTGTTGATTTCTATGTCCATAATGTTCATATCTACAAACACCATATCCTCAATACTGAACAATCCTCTCATACATATAGCACATTTTAGACCATATATATAAAATTTGGATCTTTGAGAGAAGGACGGCGTCTTGGGAGAGGGAACGAGAAACATCTATAAGCCTGTCTCTTAAGTGAATTAGTCTGTCTGTCTGTCACTGGCTTCTCTCTCTCTCTCTCTCTCTCTCTCTCTCTCTCTCTCTCGAATATATTCAATCTTGTTATTGATAACTTTTGCTTCAATGACTTCCATTAAACAATACTAATGTTATCACCGGATTTTCTTACCATTTTGGAAGTTATGTCCCCTTCAATGGACAAACCTCAAATTTATTCGCTAAACATACAACTACCACTCTATCTTGTAGATTAACATGATTTAAACAATTCGTCATTTGTACTCGTATAAACACATACTGCCAGGTACTATTATTTCTACTAATATAAAGTAAATACTCGTAAAATATACACGTATACTGTACAAAATTAATTGTTAAAAAGGTCTTTGACTACAAGTTAAATCAGTTTCAGTTTGGGATTTTTAATGTACTTAACAACTGATTCGCTTGAATATTGTCTTATGCGTTCCGTTGAGATTAATATTCAAACGCTATAAAGCAACTTTTTTTTTAAAGACAAACATACATAATTTTGTTATCATCTGATCTTGATAATGGTTAGATGGTAGAAAGAGTTAAACCCTAACAGTAAGAACAATATTTACGCGCAATCAACACAGATAAGCGCTCTCTTATATGGAAACAAATTCTATTGAAACATTCTTTAACGTTAATAGATGTATATGTGTTACTTCTGATTCCGTATTTACGAGATCTAATCATCTCACCCCAAACAAGGCGGGAATACCATTAGGGGTTACAGGGAGTGAAAGTAAGACAGAAGAATAAGAATAGGGAGGATGGATAAAATAAACAAGGATCAAGAAAACAGAAGATGGCGAGTGATGTTGCAAATAATTTTTTTAAGACTGTAGGTATCAGAGAATCAAGTAAACGGAAGGGAGTCCCACAGGCAGAAAGTGCGAGAAAAATTGTTGCAGTAGAAGTTGCGTTGCATTTAGGTATGTCAACAGTAAACAGGTGGGACCTAAATGCCAATCTAGTAGCACGCTTAAATTCATGTTGTCGAGACCCCAGGGAAAGAAGTTCCTCAGAGCAGAAAATGAAAATATTTGTAGAAATGATACAGGGAAGCCAGTCGAGATGCCTGGTGGGGATGTATTTCGTTACAGATCCTTATATATATATATATATATATATATATATATATATATATATATATATATATATAAAATATATTTCAGTCAACCGTCATCATGGGTATGTTTTGGTTGAAGTATTCAGTTTGGATTCATGATCTCATCTCTTGACACCTATGTTTTATTCCTAAAATTAATCGGAAAATTCCTGCATCATCTTCAACCATCCATTTTTTTTTTCAAAAAGAACAAATTAACAAAACATTCCTTGTTTCTTGTATTCAGTGTGTGTGTATGAGTGATGTGTGTGCGCACGCGCAGAGAAGCCATTAAATTTCAGGTTTGCCTACCGAATATAAAATAGAATAATGTCATATTTGATGACATATAAGACAAGTAGTTTCACAATATGTACTATTTCTTAGTGCAACTGATCAAAGTTCCTTGACCCTCAATTTAGACCTTTCATAGACACTCTCCTATTCACAGAACCAGCGCATTAGATGCAACGTCTTATCTGCAGAATTGTTTTTAAAATGTGCATTTTATATGCCATAAGATACGTTATTCAAGCAGCATTATTAGCGATTACAAAAGCTTATTGTAAAGTTAATTCTTTTATTTCATGCTAAAAGAATCGTGCATTTGAAACCAAAAGAACTTTCAGGATTCCAGATTTGGATTTGTTCTCTACTTTTCAAGCTTCGCAACTAAGAAAGCGTTCCATCGAATAATTGAAAAGTTTAAGGTTTTAACTTTCGTCAATGGAGATGGTAAGATAGATATTTCCATTAGAAAGATTTGATCTTTCTTTTTTATCAAACTGATTGTGAGATTGAATTGGCCTTCTAAAAAAGAACCTATTTTCTTCTGACTAAATCATAATACTTTTTGCATACATTCCATTCTGTATTTGTTCTTCACAATAAACATCTGCTGTGATTGTCTTGCTTGATTCTTAGAATTTGTAAGTGATGAAGCCTACCATATTCTACCGATCGCTGAAACTTTGTTTCTGGTTTTCGTTCAAAATCCCTAATTCTTTCAACAAGGGACAAAAGAATTTCACAGCGGGCTTTTGTCACTGATAAGAAATATGTGGTGGGATTGTCAAAAACATTCTTCATAAATGAATTCTGTTACAATTTAATGGAGTTTATTCCATCTCCAAAATTGCAACATTACTTTCCTAGCAACCTATTATATATGCAAATACATTATCTTTACGTATATATGTATAGACTTGTATGTAAAGAATTCAAAATACTTCTTTTTTTCTTTTCTTTTTTTCTTTCCTTCATTGAAAATGCATTCAACTTCTGCCTGGTTTTGTTGTTCCGCCAAACCCATTTTTCTCACTTTTTTGTCCATCAGTGCAGGTGTTGCAAAGTGAGATATTTTCAGTACATTTAGCCCAAATCGCAATCATTGGACGTAAACTTGTTTCTTTTCTGCCTTACGAGAAAGGTTTTCTTTCAGAGACGTCTGGAATTTTTTATGATTTTTCTCAGTACAGCTTGGTAGGTTTTTTTGTGTGATTTGTCTCGCATCAGACTTTGTTATGATAAAGAAAAGCCTGGCCCACTTCCCATGTTACGGTGACATCATACTGACAGACTCTTGACTCAATCTATCTAACTATATAGGCACATAGGTTTTCCTCACTAAGGTCCTATGTGTGTGAGAAAATGTATCAGATCCATTTATTTCTCTCTTACATTTTAAATGCACGCACATATTAAAAGAGAGTTCTCTATCTTGTGTGAATAAGTTCTATACACACACACACACACACACATATATATATATATTATCCATGTAATATACATACATACATACATATATATGTATATATATATATATATATATATATATATATATATATATATATATATATATATATATATATATATATATATACATATATATATATATATATATATATATTTAAAGATATGTTTTTGTGGTAACTGCCATAAAAGACAAAAATTATTTTATTACCACACATGATGATAATAAATAAAAGCAAAACTGAAAAACGGATTAGCTAACAGGTTTCGAACCTCGCTCGACAGAGATACATCGAGGTTAATAAGATGAATTATCACTAAAAATGCACAATATGTATTGAGAAAAGAAAAAAAAAAAAAAGAATATATATATATATATATATATATATATATATATATATATATATATATATATATTGTTTGTTTGTTTGTTTGTTTGTTTTGTTTTACGGCATATCAAACTCAATGGGTTATTTAATGCCGACAAAATTTTCATTGTTGGTAATATTTTTTCCTTCAAAAATCTATTTCTGGTAAGAATTTTAATTCGCTGATAATATTTTTTTTCAAAATATCTATTGCTGGTAATATTTTTTTTTACAAAGTATTTCTGGTATTAAACCCTATTTTTACACGTTTATAGTGCTTTGACCCAAGTTTGGGCGTTAACTATTTGCCCGTAGCGCGGACCATAACAGGTGCTACCACCCCGGCTCAGGGTGAATCTGTGTTATAGAATGAACGAAAAATTTTTCTCCCGTATGAATTGAGAATCCCTCGTCGCCAATGTCGCCAATGTGTTGTAGAGTAGTTTTCACAATGGAGGCTTGTATTTCACTAAGTCGGTCCTAAATTAGGTTCGACGTACAAAACGTTAGAAACTTGAAATAATAGTTAATGACGCAGCAATCTAGTTGTGATGGTTGATACTTTAATGTCCGACATCGACTGACTCACCAACTCCACTCTGAGGCCCCTGGTGACTGCTACTACTACTACTTATTATCTGTGGGAGCGTCTATTAACAATAGAATAGGTATGTTCCAGTGTAACAATCTGGGAACACCAGCAATTAAGAGGTGATTCCACGCTCTTCAAAACCTCCTGATCAGAGGCCTAGCTGTTTTTATAGTTTATCGTCAAACCCAGCACGGATATATATATATATATATATATATATATATATATATATATATATATATATATATATATTATAAAAATTTAGGTAAGATTAATTGTAAGTCATATTCGATTGGTTGATCTGAGTAAATCCCACAAAACTTATACCCCCACCTTTTTCTTTTGTTCGTAAAAAGATGTAGTATTTTGCTTTTTAATTTAAATAAATGGTTCCCACGCCAATGATTTGCATTCGCCTGATGAGATGCATTGATACGCATCGAAACACGACTGCAATTGTGTAGCGATTTTGACATGTTTTCGATGTAATATATATATGTATATAATGTGATTTTGACATGTTTGTAATATATATATATATATATATATATATATATATATATATATTTGGTTATATATATTTATTTTTTTTGACCTTTTTTCACGTTTTGAAACCCAGGGTCACAAATAACATCTATCCAACCAAATATGTATCTCTATCTCTGATATTGAGCGCTTTCTAATAAGTACCTGTGCATATAATATATAAATAATTATACATATATATATTTATATACACTTTTCACACACATATATATATATATATATATATATATATATATTAAGATATTACACCGAAAACATGTCAAGATCGCTAGAGAGAGAGAGAGAGAGAGGGCCACCTCGAGGCGGTGTAATGTTTAGCAAGCTTGGCTCGCTAGAACAAGTACGACTGAGTAGTGAGTTCGATCCTCACTGGGTGCCCCCTAATTTCGGCCTTGTGCCACATCTAAGCTACGCTTAAAAAATCACTATATTTATATTGAAGAAAGAAACAGAAGCGACATTAAAACTGACTGACAAAATAGATGTGAACATTCTGGTGGTAGATATAGATATGAGATAGTGAGATATATAAACTTACACGGCGAAGGATTATAGAGAGAGTGATAAAGCATATGAGAGAGAGAGAGAGAGGTAGAATGCCTGTGTGGGCGTGGGTGTGTGTGTGGTAGAGAGAGAGAGGACAGTAATTAGGCAGAAGCGAGTAACTGCGTAGATGTAAAGTCTGTCTACGGACTTGGAGTTTTTCTTTTTGATAGAGAAAAGACAGAGAAAATAATTAGGGAACACTGTGTAGTAAAGAGAGAAATTACTGACACATCATAAAAAATATAATGAAAGGTTAAAATATGAATGGCAACCAACTGAAAAATTATAATAATAATAATAATAATAATAATAATAATAATAATAAAAACGACAGAAATGACAAAAAATCAAATAGAAAGATTTTAATACGGCATAGGAAGATGTGCTCTTAGTTTTCAGATTTTGCCATTCTTCATAAATATTTAAAAAGTAAGGAAGAAGCTGTTGCATAAAAAATTTGCAATTTAATGTGTGCTCGTGCGCACAAGATTGTTTATATAAGAAGCCGGAGAATTGATATGAGGCTGGATGAAAAAGTTCGTCGACTGGCACGGAGTTGTTGGTTGAATTTTAATCTGAAATTTTCACGATATAATGTTGAGTTTAAAATTCATCAAAGAATTAAGGTCATTTATGAAGACTGACGTTATGTTGAAAAATATTTGCGGATTTTTTTATCATAATTAACTTAAGTGACAAATTTATTTAAATACTTACATCTATGTATCTATATCTTTTCTTTTCTTAAATTTTCTCTCTCTTTCTTTCTCTCTCTCTCTTTCTCTCTCTCTTTTTCTCTCTTTCTCTTTCTTTTCTTTTTTTCTTTTTCTCTCTCTCTTTCTTTTCTCTTTCTCTCTCTTTTGGTAAAAATTTCTTTCTTTCTTTCTTTCTTTGTCTCTCTCTCTTTCTCTTTTCTCTTTTGATTTTCTTTCTTTCTTTCTTTCTTTCTTTCTTTCTTTCTTTCTTTCTTTCTCTCATATGAGGGGGATGCTGCATAGTTCACAACCAGATCAACTACCCAAAATCTGAATGAATGACGAAACATCGTATTTTTTCTTAAAGAATATGTTCTTGGTCTGATTGAGAAATTTTCCGCAGTCTGCACAGACTTTGAGGAGACACGGTATAGTAATGGCTCGGATTGAGGAATCGAAGAGCCGAGTTCGAATTCCAGTCGAATCCATTACATTCACATACATGCTAATACACTTGGGAAAGGTATGAATCCTCTTCTTCTCCCCCCAGCTATGGGTAAATAGCAGGATAGAACTGGTTCTATAGCCTTGGATAACAATTGGTCTACTCCAGAAAGAAATGGCAACCTACTGCGGGAAAAAAATCTGCCTCGTCAGTCATATATCGAAAGATACATGATCGCCTGTATGTGTGTATGGCACATAACTGACTGATTTTGAGGATACTGTTTCTGTGTGTACGCGTGTGTGTGTGTGTGTGTGTGTGTGTGTGTGTGTGTGTATATAAAAATAGAATTAAAACGATATAAACACAGTCTGTTGCAAAATAGATATTCGGACTGAACGATTATGCCGGAGACTTCTTGTCGTGGCATGTGAACTGACCAAATTGAGATTGATAGGAGGGAGTTCTTGTTTATTTCGGTATTCAAGTACAGAGTCACACCGACGAAGACCTAAACTTCTAATTCCGTATATATATATATATATATATATATAGTGAGAGAGAAAGAGAGATGTAAAAATGTTTGAAGAAAAAGTAGAATAGTAGGGATAACTATAAATACAAAATGCCTTCCCCTCACACGCCAGCAAATGGAAATATTTATCTTTGTGTTGACATCAAGAAACTTGTTAACCATCACTAATTCACCTTCCATTTGTGAAAAGATGTAATCAAAAGCGAGATCGACAGTGAGCCAAAGAAAATTGAATAACCTTACAATACTCCCAACTGGGTTGTGTTTCAATATAAATTTCAGTACTGTTATCGAATAATATGCCCAAATTAAAACCAAGCGATTTTCAATAAATTTGGCTATACGAGCGTTAAAAGTATTTTACTTTAATTATATCAGTATTTTCTGAAAATACAATACATGCTTTGGAGAATGGTTCAATACTGAACTGGTGGAAGGGTGTGTAAATAGGTTAGTAAGTACATAACACTCGCCTAACTGAAAGTAACCCACTCGACATCACATCTTGAAAATGGCTAAAGTATTAGCCGAAAGCGTTTGGGTAAGCCAACACGAAGAACAATTCTTTAAAAATAAAAGAAAACTTGTAAAGGTGACAAGTAAATTTTTGTTCGCGAGACTCTTATATTTGAATGGACGAAATTGCTATTGAGAACTTTCGAGGAAACTGAATTCAATCTTTTCAGAAGGAATAAATTTCAACAGCTTCAAAAGAAATGTATTCAATACGTGAAAGAATTTCATACATATATTTATATAGAACAACATAACTCACAAAAGAAGTGGTTGAACATTATTTTTACCTGTATACAGATAGTTCAAAGAAGTGAAAGACAACATTTACCTACTTATTCGTAGTCTGTATGGGTGGCTGTGATGGTGACGTAGTTTCTTTTAAATTAAATAATCTGCTGCCCAAGGAGACAAGAGTTACATTATTATCGTTACATATTCATTCGTTTTTTGTTTTTTTTTGTTTTTTTTTTGTTTTGTTCAGTTAGCGCATTTGCACCACAGTGGATACCACTCCCCTATTATTTCTGTTGTAATTATGGTTCATAGTGACATTTAAGGCAAAATAGTGCAATGTCTTACTAGTTTCTTTTGCACCGGCGGCGATGTTGAGGTTACCACGGCCTTCCAAGTTAAAGCGATAAGGCAGCAGGTTGTTTGAATTTGAAGTTTTCCTTCTCTTATACTGATTGCTAAACAAATTCATAGGGTCCAGTCTGTTCTGCTATTTACCCATATCTGAGGACAAGAGATGGATTCATACCTTGCCGAAGGGTATTATTAGCACAAGGGAATGCAATGCAACCTAAGGAAAGTTACTGAGTAGAATAATCACACGAAAGTTGGTAATGAACGATAATACTTAGGGCACGAACAACACATATAAGATTCGCCAGCGACGCTTAGAAGTATTCAACTGCTAGAAGTGAGTCAAGGGAATTCCACAATAAATCTCCAACTGCCGACCAACATACAGTATTTACTACTGTATTTATGTGAATGGGGATATAACCCATTATCATCCATAGGAAATACAACTATATATATATATATATATATATATATATATATATATATATATATATATATATATATATATATATATATATATATATAAAGAGGTTATAATTGTTCCAACGAGAGAAAAACGTACATTTTAAAGAGAAAAAGAAAAACTGCAAACGTTTTTTGGTTATAATGTGGAGTTTTTAGATATTTATTATACTTTATAATAATCGAAAAATGGAGAAAAAAAATTCATGTATATATCATACATCGTTATTTATTGATAAAGGATTTTCTCATTACTCAGGATTGACGAAAGTGTTAAACATTACCCGACAGGCAATTCTCTTGTCAAGAAATGTAAAAACCTTAGGTGTTTCGGCTTGTAAATGAACAAACCAATACCCAAGAAAAAATAAGGAATGAAAAAAAGGAAAGAACTTTGAACATGTAATTCAGGCGAAAACAATCGTCCAGAATCCAAGCTCAGAGTCCAAAGAAAAAAACCTCCAAAACGAGTAAAGCAAAAATAACTAAGCAAAGGGCTCAATACGCTAAGTAGAGCAAATCTAACTATGAACCTAAATAGCCAGGCAAACCTACCTAGATCGTCAGGGTACACTTTTGGTTCATAGTTTTATATATATATATATATATATATATATATATATATTATCATCATCATGATTTATTCAGTTAATGTATTTTTGCGCCGCTGGGGGTCACCGCTCTTCCCTATTTCATACTGACATTCAAAGCAAAATAGTGCAATGGCTTTCCGGTTCCTTTTGCACCGGCGGCGATGTTGGGGTTACACCGCTTCTCTCCTCAGATGTTCATTAACCCACTGGTAAATAATGGCGACTGGCCATTTGACACAGGTGGGTTGGAGAAAGGCGTTTCCCTTTACTGGTGGAGTCAAAATTATGCCCTCACACAGCCGATAGGTCGATGCCGTTGACCAGGATGTGACCATCGCAGTAACCACGCGACTTCCATGTGTGAAAGTTGGGTGAGGTTCGTGCTACAGTAGAGCTCCGCATCCCAATTCACCTGGGTAAAACAGGGTCGACCGCTTTGCTGTAATGGTACTATCACTGACGATACACCCTCTTGTCGATACTACGGAGAACAAAAAAGGGTTTTATTGTCCTTTTCCTTTGATAGACCTTAAATAACGCTACCTAGCATCTTGACAGGCGTCTTCGCGGTAATCCTTGCAAAGTAAATAAAAAAAACTGGCAAGATGTTCCTTATCTATCAGTTTCAATGAAACATGCATAAAAGAAGGATTGGTGCCCAAATACACGATATATTTGTGTATATATATATATATATATATATATATATATATATATATATGTGTGTGTGTGTGTGTGTGTGTGTGTGTGTAAGCATGTGTACATATATATATATATATATATATAGTAAATGACCTTATTCACCACATTTTTATATTTTCTTATTCATTCCTTTAGCTCTCCACATAATTCTTCCCTGCTTTTATCTATTCTTCGTTTCTCAATCTTATGTCTGTTCCTGTCTCATCTGTCCACACTGCAATTAAGAATTTCCCATAATACCACTTGATTACAACGAGGAACAGAATTAGCGGCGACACCGTGCGTGTGCCTTGTCTTCCCCGTCCCTACTACGGCCCACCTACGACCTTTGGGCTGACCTCTAATGACCCCTAAATCGACTCTCTGCATTGACCCTGTTCTTAATGCCTCGATGACAATGCCAAATTCTCACCGCTACTCTTTCTTGCCTTCAACCGTGTGAGGATTCGGCTGTCCGTTAATTTTAGAGATGGCATCAACTAAATAACTTCCGGCATCTCCATCCACTATTGCACTCGCTCACACCACTACCGACCTCTACGTTTGGTGTGTCCACCCTGGCCCAGATAATTGTGGTCAGTCTTTAATGGCGGACGTGAAAGCCAGAGAATTGTTGTTGGTAACAGTGGGCTGCTTGGAACGAGCTCTAACGACATTCGGTTGAACATTTCAAAAATCTTCCCCCCAAAAATACAATGAATTCTCCACACACACACACACACACACACACGTACACACGGACACACACAATGCCAATAAAGCAAGGCTCTTTACTGCCTTTAAGCGAAATCCATTGGCTCAAAGGTATACAGGTTCGAATCCTGTCAGAGAGCGCATATTTTTCCTTAATAAGATTTCTCAAATATTCAGACCGGTATTTATATTATCCAGACTTTTATCCTCATCTCCATTGCCACATTCACAACATTTCGGCCGTTGTACGCTCCGGCCTTCTTCAGGGGTTCCACGTGTCATGTTTAATGGATGTCAGTTATCAGTTATCTCCTGTTAATTCCCCTCTCCAAGTTCTCCACTGCCTTAACCAGGTATTGAACTCACACTCTTTGGGTCCTGTCACTGGATCTAACCAACGCCTTTATTCACTGTGCCATGTGTTCTTAAGGCATGTGGAACTAGAACAGTCTACCCCAGAGAGCGAAATAAAAGGTTCAGTTCGACATTCCAACCACCTGAAGAAGGCCGGAGCGTACAACGGCCGAAACGTTGTAATAAATATCATCTCAGAAATATAGACAGATACTGAAGAACCGAAACGTTGTGATAAATGTGGCGACTAAAATGAGGACAATAGTCCGAATAATGTAAATAGTGTACATAATACCTCATCTCAGAAATATAGACAGATACTGAAAGGCCGAAACGTTGT